AATGTAACAGTTAAATCGGCCTTTGAAGTTCTCTTCACTCATAAATATGGCCAACCCCTTATCGAATTTGGAAACTACCTTGTTCTTATATAGGATGGCAACATTTTTTTATTATGTGGTTGCTAATTCAAGGCAAACTTCCAACATGCATCCACTCAACTTTATCACAGAAATATCATTCAAAACCTTGTTTGTCAAATATGTAATTAGGAACCTGAGGATTTAAAGCATTTATCTACAAACTGTGATGTCAATAGAAATATTTGGACATATCTGGATATTAATCCAAGTGCTGAGCAGGACTACTTCATACGACAATGGGGAAATCATTTGTTAATAATTCTAGACAAAAGAAACCTAACATTATTGTGCCATACTCTGTGGATAATATGAAAATCTAGTTTCCAATAAATAAATACAACTGTTAAATTGATATGGTCATCCATTCAATATTATATAGATAATTTCCTTGTTGCTAATCCAGTTGTTTGGAGTGATTCCAAGATTTGGAGAAGTATCAAATGGAACCCTGGCCTCCCCCAACACAAGTCTTATGGTTTAGTCAGAAGAAGCATGGGATTGGCTACTACAACAGGCTTGTTCGGTTGTTGGTATGGAGGATTTTGCATCAATATTGGAGTTCCTACAATTCATGAATTGAAACAGCTGAGCTTTGGGTAGTATATTGCACAGAGGATGGTTTCCCCTCGTTATTGAATTAGACTCTAAGTCCACTATACCAGCCTTACAATCTAAAAAATGCCCAAATTGGAAAGAATGAAGTCCTATTCTAAAGCACTATCAGTCTGTTAAGCTGTTATCGAGAAGCTAATAGCTAGGTGTGATGACTGTCTAGCTAATATAGCTTATGAGTATCAATTTTTTTGGAACAGTCCTGTGGAAGTCAAGCAATTGGGAGGATATTAGTGTTGTTTGCTTGTAATGTGAATATGTGGTTGCAGACAAGCTAAATACGGCTGTAAGGATAAGTAATGCGCTCATGCGTTGTGTGTCCATCCCGAATGTGACCTCTATTTGCTTTGGTTTTGACTTTTGATTGATACAACGGGATGAACTGGACAACCATTTGCTTCTGTCTTCCTTTTCTGTTACTTGAAAGGTTTCTAAGGAAAAATTGCAACTGTCATGAAGAAGGTATGCAGAGCTTGAAGCGGAAACAGAAGCAGCAACAGAGGTTGGGATCAAAGTGGAATGCTAGATTAGAGCGTTAAAGGGATTGCAACTTCAAGACGGAAGAGCGAATGAAACTGAGGTTGAGACGAGGAGAAAACTTAAGATTTTTTAGGAGCTTCAGGGAGTGGTTAAGAGATTGCAACTTCAAGAGGAAAGAGGGATTGCAACAGAAGGAAGCAATCATCTTGTTGTTTATAATTTGACACAGTAACCAAGGATATTTTAGGAATTTTTAAAAATATATCAGTCATGCACATACTGTGAATAGAGTAGTTGAAAAATCTTGCCCAAAAAAAGCAACCAAGTGAGTCTCGAATCCACCCCTTGCCAATTGGCACCTTAACATTAATGTCTTTCCCACATCATAAATTGTCCCGAAAAGCATTAATCCTTTCAAGTTGCACAACCTAGTAATGATACGAGACATATATAGGATGTTTCTGATTTGGTTTATTTTTGTGTAAGTGTGCTGATGAGCAATTGAGGTTCCAATTTTTCTTGTATTGTTTAGGAAACAGTCCATGATCCAGAGATGTTATTTCTGTGGAATCATTACTTTTTTAAATGAGGTAGGTAGGAATAGATTGGGTAAAGGATATATCATGAAGTTGTTGTTAACCCCTAGATGCCCAGATCGTTCTACCACGAAATGAAGCATGTTCTATAAAATTTAATTAAAGAACATTAACACTTCTTATCTTTTTGTGTCAAAATTCACTTTTATTCTTTTTTGGGTCAGTGGTGATTTGGGGCCAGCAATTAATGCAATATTTTGGAACCAAAAGATTTGGACCAATCCAGTCCTATCTAAACCTGGTTATTCATTAATCAGACGAGTGTCTCAATTATCCAACCAATCTATTTTCTTCTTTTGAGTTCCAAGTAATGGCTGAGAGAGAGAGAGTTTTCCACGGGAATTGTACAACGCATGATCAGAAAATTATGGTCCGAACAGAAGACAGTGCAGGCATTACTTCCACGGGAATTTCTCCTCATACGTACATATATTACTAGTCTAATTTACATTTCAACATACAGAACGGTAGATGGGGCGAAGGCTTAATTACTTTCACATCGCACCTTAAATAAGATAATTCTTGTTTACTGAATTTTTAGAATTGTAATTAATTTACAGTATAAAAAAATCCAGTGCAGAAGAAGATGCTATGAATTAAGAAGAAAAAAAAAAGAAAAGAAGAAAGAGCCTGGTGGCCTCCTCATAGCTATCAGCTTGTCCCAAAATGTTGGGATTTATTAGGTTCTTCTGTTCTTCTTCTAGTAGCTCGAATGTAGCAAGCAACAGAAATCACGAAGGAGGCAACAAGGCCTCCGACGATAATCCCACCTCCGATGATGCACTCATCTATGTTCTTATGATAACGATGTCTTCCCATACGTCTGATGGCAGATGGCGATTCAGCAATTTCCAGCTTTTGCTTTGGGGCTTCCACAGAAGCAGCAGCTGGCTCTGGCTCATCCAAGGAGCTGGAGCTACTTACCTCTCCACCCCAATTTTTATTATTATTGTCAATATTGTCCCATTGGGATTGGGTTGATGACTTTTGGGGGGATGTTGATGTTTCCATTTCTGGAGATGGAGATGATGGAGTCAAAGCCGGTGGCTCCGAGACATCGTGACCAGTGAGCATGAATGAGGTCTGGATTTCTCCATTAGCCTTGTCTGCAACCGCAGCAATCAAAAAGACAAAAAGGACGAACCTAAGCATTTCGTACAGCTGCTTGCTAGCCGGCCTATGTTGATGAAGGCGTATACATTACAGACAAGACAATAAGCTTCCAATCTACTCTTATATAATTGAGATGAGGGGGCTTCTGGCTTCTCAGTCTGAAAGATTCCATGCTCGTGCTCTTTGACAGAAGTTTCCGATCATTCTTTAATGGACAGATAATAGAGAAAAAGGAGAGGTGGGATCGAGTTAAAGGGTTTTTTGTTTGGTAAAACTTGCTTTTCTGGGTTATCAGTAAAATGAAGTCAAACTAGGGAGATGCATCATACACGTGCATGGGCTTTAGAAAATTTGGAGAAATGCAACTGGGTTTCGAGGTAGGGAACATGCAACTCTATGTTTAGTTGTAAGCTGAAGGAGCATTAATTTTGCAGCAGATTATAAGGTGTTGAAGGAGATTAATTAATTCTGTTTAATAGCTGGAGATTGCCAACAGAATCCGACTTCTCTGTTGTTCTTCAAGGCCTGGATTCTTCTCTGAAAGTACCAGCATGGACATGGATTTCTCATAGCTCCTATATGTTGGGGCAAATCTTGTATCTTCCACCCAAGGTTTGGTGGCTGTTTGGAAGAAGCCTGACAATGGGGACCCTAAGTGAGCTGGAAATTGCCAACCCGCACGAATCCGACCGAAATTTTGAACTTGATCCTTCCATATCAGCCGAGTCGAAGCCAGAAGAATAGCAGGTAGATGTGGGTTCCATTTTGAACAAATTTCGTCGAATCATAGATATATGGTTCTGGTTGGATACTTGGATTAGCCAGCTAAAGTCATGAAAAAAAAAAGTCTACAATCAGATATCCTGCCCAAATTTATTCCTGCTCTTTTTTTTTTCCCTTTATTTAGTGACAGAAAATGTAATATTTTAAATTCCAATTCTGTTTGTTTGATGTGAAACAGGATGAAAATTAATCTCAATGAAATATTAATTAGATGTGAAACAGGATAGAATTTTTTTTTTTTTCCTTTGTTTGGATGTAAACCCGACACATTGACAACTTCGTGGCTAATTAGTTGGCCAACGTGGGACACTTTTAAGTTCGTGGCTATTATTGTTCTTCACTGTTTTTGCCTTGAGGTTCTTGTCTCTTTATCTTTCGTGGGGTTTGGCGACTCCCAGGTCTGTGTAGCTTTGTTGTTTTCCCTCATTTAACAAACAAACAAAAAATCAGGTCTGAGGACTCGGTCTACACATAGCTCTCTTGTTGGTTGGTTTGTCCAAACCGGGACCGGGACTTATCCAACCCATTGACAGTTGCAAAGTGTTTGGTTTAAAGAAAAAAGTAGGAAAAGGAAGAGAAAGGTAAAGAAACTTTTACAAAATTTGTATAGGTTTTTCTACCTTTCCCAACCTTTTCCATTCAAACCAAACATAACCTCAACGAACGATAGCCGAAGAAAATTTTATTTAATTGATCAAACTATTTAAGTTCGACCGGATCAGAGTAAGTTTTGGCCGACCAAAGTGCCGCCGGCCTTTTCCTTCAACAGATTTTGGACAATCTGTTGAATTGAAAGAAACAACAGAGTCGGTCGGGTTGGATTAACACAAAGCCAGCCCGGTCTGGGATTAACCAAAGAAAAAAGGGGCATAACAGAACTGACTCCGGAGTCAGAAATCCTTTTCGACAAAACATGTGTCTCAATCGGAGCGGGACCCACCAACTTACACTCCACAACAAAACGCTCCTTTGTTATTGAGGGGGAGATGCTCCCGATGTCTGGCTGTAAATGGCTCTTGGTATCATCAGATCTGTGCTTCGTTAGTTTGAGGGCTCAAATATAATTGTGATTGATTTTGTTTTGTTTCCCTTATTTTGGGAAGAGCCAGAGCCTCCTGAACATTCTTGAATGTCCGTTTCAGTTGCTAATTGCTATTTAATTATTTATATTATTGATCCTGATTCACACTTAATTTGGCCCTTGTCGGAGAACTCGTCAATTCGCATATATCAATCCTCACCGTGCTCGAAGTTTCTGATTAAATATTTGAACGTCTATACTATACGTGGATGTGGTAATGGAGTTCTTTCAATTCAACAACATAGTTTGCAGTAATTACAGAATCCAACAGATAGCTTACATTATAATTTCTATTAATTTAATGGATATTTACTCTTCTTTTTACAATTTACAATTACAAAATCAAAGGAGATGTGCCGGGCAAGGGCAACCCAAGTATGAAGTACGTTCCTGTAGAATAAAAAGCTCCAGTCTAGCTAGCTAGGAGCTGGTTGTTTGGCCGTTTCTTCTCCTCGTGGCGCGAATGTAACAGAAAATCGAAACGAAAAATGTGGTTGCAAGACCTCCAAGGATCACTCCACCGCCGGCGACCGATTTACCACTTGAATGATGCCTTCCAAGCCGTCGGGCTACTGGTGCTTCAGCAATTTTTGATGATGACAGCACTACAGTCAAGGGCTGCTCGCTTCTGTTTGGTTGGCTTATGGGTGCTTGGGCAATCTCCAGCTCTTGACTATTAGCTGCTGGACTCGGTGGCAACGGATCCGACGACCCTTCCAGCAAGGAACTGATCACTACTTTCTGTTGGTGTTTGATCCCAAGCTTCCGAGCAATAGTGGGCGTTTCGGCAATTGGTGATGCTTTACGATTATCTGCTGGAGTTGGCGCTGGTGCGTTCAATTCAACAGCTTTCTCAGCCATGGCTAGAGGTACCACGACAATATTGGCGAAGACGAAGCAAATAAGAAGCTGCAGAGTAGACATTTTTGTGTGTAATAACTAACAAATCAGAAAAGCGTTCTAGCTAGGAATGCTTGCAGCATATATGGGGTTTCCTCCAGACTACTACTTAGAGGGATGGAGAATATGGATGAATCTTACATGCGTATATATAGGGTTAGGATTAGAATCTCAGGCTCTTGCAGGTTAATTAGGGGAAGTTTCCTCCTGGTGGTCTTGAGAGGTCTTTCTACAAATTTTGTTTTATGTTTCTGTCTAGTGAGTAGGGAGGTTTTAAGGGAGATACACGTGAATGCATTAGAATATATGAAAATACAACTGGGTTTTCGAGATAGGGAACAAGATCTATTTACGTGTTTGCTTGCAGCTGTGTGGGAAAACAGAAATGCCAATAACAAATCTCTCCCCATTAATTTGTGGCATGAGGAGGTGACAGACAGAACTTAGTTTACCCAATAAACAGCTAAGAGATTTATAAAATTAATAGTGAGCATGCCAAAGCACCATGGGCGGTGAACTTGAATATATGCTTTTCTAAAATCTAAACACACAAAAGAATTGGAAGTGCTTCATAAAATTTTCATTAGGTATGTTATATTTTACCTTGTTTTGATGTGGAAATGAGCTATTAGCTTCTGAAAGCAAAGTGTGATAAATCAGAAAAGGGAAGAAAGAAAATTTTCAAATTGGTTGACATGAATGGGGTAGGCCTTGTCCGTAGACATGGAAGACAAATGTCCATATTAAGAATGCCATAAAACACTATATTATTGCAAAATATGGATTGGTTAAATTGCTAAACGAAGATGAAGCTTCAAGCCTAAAAAGAAAAGAAAAAAAAAAGCTTCCATTGGCAACCGCTCCATGTGCCAATCTTTTTTTTTTTTTTTTTTTTTGTGTGAACATGTGTATTTAATTTAGGGTCCGTTTAGTTCATATTTAGAATCGGAATCAGAATGGTCCATTCCCATAATCTATTTGGTTCAGAGAGGAATGAGAATGGGAATTAAAATCAGCAGAAATGAAATTTCATTCCCAAGGGGAGAGGCAGGGAATGACCATTACCTCAAATGGGGAATGCCAGTCCAACAGGAATGGGAATGAAATTCTAATTCCATCCAACCAAACAATTGGAATTGGAATAGCACATTCCAGTTCCGATTCCAGACCCCTATTCCCATGAACCAAACGGGGCCTTAGATAATTGTGTTACACATGGGTTATGAAGAATCAGCACCAGGGTCAGGGATAGATGGGATGCACATGAGGCCCATTAGCCTTTTTTGGAGGGGAGGGGAGGGGGGGGGGGACATTGAGGAAAATAGTTTCCCTATTATATTATGAGGTGAGGTGGACTGAACCGTAAAAATCGTTTTTTTATTCAAGCCCATTAACCATATCAAGGAGAATCTAAATAGGGTTTCTGACCATCATCTAATTCTGAAGTCTAAACTAATAGATCATTGACCATGCATGTGCTAATCAGTACCAATCCTTGAGGCAATCAACCAAGGAGGGGTATTTTAGTCCTTAAAAGAAACAATGAGGGCAATTCAAAAGTAACACCAATAGGGCTTCGTTGCCTTCCGATTACCATTAAGTAAAAAGACTTGGTGAATTCTTGGTATGCATTATCTTTTCTTCTTGATCCCTCTTATTCATGGAGGTACAAGGAAGGAGTCAGGGAGAAGTGGTTGCTCAGCTAATATCATATATCTAATGTACTTACAGGAGGACGCATAGAGCAAGTATAGGGCTTGAAGCAATTGGTTTGTTTGAATATGAGAGAATTAATTATACATACTACTATAAGACAGTCTAGCTATAACCAACCACCCAACATGGAATGCTTTGGAAAACAGAGGCATGATATTTACTTAATAACACATCCTATGAAGCCCATTAGAGAGGAATAAGAATCCTACCAATGTAGGATTGATTCATTGATAAATAATTTGGATACTGGCAGACCGCCGCAGTGTTTTGGATGATTGTTGTCATGGATGCGCTTTAGGACAATTATTCATCTTCTCACAGAAATTTTTTTATGCATTATTTATATGTTCGCGCTTCCAACTATGATTCATCAAAGTCAGAACCTAACAATAAGAGCTGTTAACGGTAAAACTGAACAAAAAGTTTCGGTTATCAAAATTTCAGATCCAAAATTGGACCGAATCAACCAGTTAGATCGGTTCGATTTTTTTTTATATATTATAGATATACATACAAATCGGTTGAGACATTAGGATGATAACTTGAACATGTGGCATCTGATGAACAGTCTACATTGCAGTAGGGGGAGAGACTTGATAAAAAGTAATTAAGAGAGGGCCGGACAAGCATAAAATAGGAAGAAGAATTCTGATGAGTTAGCAGTTTGTATGATACTAGTTGATTATGTATTAGGTATCGTGCCTTTTCGGTATCATAGTAAGACTCATAAGTCATATCGATGATGCGCACATCATATTTTTGCATGGTATCAGATTATCAGGAACAGGACAATACAATGGCTGTATTTATTTAGTATTTATATGGGTCGATTCACTGGACAAAAGAGGAACGGCACAACACTGGAGCAATCTTACACTGGTGCTATTGGGCACCTAAAAAAACAAAAACCAATATGATATACAATACATCAACGGTATTATCAAATTTTGATATTTTAAACCTTGCCTCTAGTCCTAGTCCTCAGCCACATACATGGAGAATTTTTAGTAAGGAGAATGTTGCTCGCCAAACTGCCACTGGAGCTAGGCTCCTCCAACAGATAATCTTCTAGCCCTGCAGTCACAACTAGCCCTGCAGTCACAACTGTGTTGTATTCTGCTCTACCCCTCTTATCGAGGAACAAATACAGCTAGGATCTCCTACCCATAAACTGATCTCACATTCATACCCACATGACACCACAACCCTGTTCCCAATACAATAATAACTTATAAGCTATTACTAAGAATTATCTTTTCTCACATTTATGTAAGGATTATTTTCCTAGGTATAAGGTAAGTGATATCCATCTCCTTAGTGAAGTAAATAACTTTTCCACATAGGAAAAAGTACCCCTTTTAATAATGAATTTTTATGACTAAAATGGTCATTGCCTTATTTACCTAAGAAATAAAAGAACAAGGATAAATACACTTTCCTAGGTAAATCTTTCCTGAAAAACACTTGCTTAGATAAATGCATTTAGCAACTTAACAAAAAAGGGCCTTATTACAAAAATTTTATTTTTTAGAAAACTCTATGATGTTGGAGTAGAAGACATGATATGGGAGAGACATTGACCAATCAAAACCCCCCGCATCAATTTTTATGAAAACCAAGCTGCCTAACCCACCCGACTAGTTTTAAATTTTATGATGCAAGTTTATAGGTCACAAGTGCTTCCAATATCACGTCTTTCTGGAATCATAATCGAACCCTTTATTTCTCTGCATACCCCAAACATCTTTCTCTACCACCTCTACCATTTAGTGTCTCCCTCCACTGATCACCATCGAGTTTCACACTTTCACCATAATAATCACACAAGTTGGAGAGAGGCAGATTGAGATCAAACGATTAGATTAAAATTTTAAAGAGTAGGTTTGACCGAGGACAAGAAAAAAACGCTAGATTTGTGAGTTAGAACTCGTGACATAAGAATTTGTCATTTATCAAAAATAAATAAAATAAAACTTGTGATATGAGAATGTTTGCGTACTGTGCAGTTTGTGCACTCTTTCACTTTGCCACATAGCCCGCTCCACAGGGTGGGGCATTCATGATTCAGCTAATCCGAACTCATTACAGTGGTAGTAAATAAAAACCTTGATATTTCAAGGGTAAGCTTATCTTATCAAGAAAAGTAGAAAATAAAGATCATCACAGTATTGCTCATTAATGTTAGGAATTCCAACTATTTTGAGCTTCATTAAGTACACGAACTCGTAATTTGAATATATTTCTTCTCTCAAAACCTACTAATACCTTGAACCATCTATAATTTAGTTTATCATCAATCGCCCTTCGAACACAGATTCAGTTGTATAACAAGTTTACATTCATATTAAGTAATTCATAGAAAATCCTGAAATGGGAAAACTGAAATGCGGTGCAAACTTACTTCTCTAGTAAACACAACAACCTTGTCAGTCAAAGCCTCTAGAAGAATCAATTATAATTATCTGAGAGGCCCATCACACCGAATGTCTCTACATCTCTTAGATTAGGAGCTTTTCAATGGCATCCTGCATTACCATTAATAAATTTAGCAATATGAACAATTGAACATGGGTTCCTAAAAAAGAAAAGGAATGGGATAAATACAGTATAAACGACAAGAGCACACCTTAAGTTGCTGTATTTGGGATTTCAACTGGCTTCCCTCGTTGCTCGTTACAGAGCAAGCAATTACAGGTCTTGTTACTCCACATGCTCGGCCAAGGGCTTGCTTGGAAGGCACAAACACATATGGCACATTCTGCAACAACCAAATATGTCAGCGTTAATTGCTCTTCAAAAATTAAACGTTAGTGTTACATGCATAACCAGACAGCTTACTGGGTGTCGATTTAACAGTTTAACCATTGGTTAATTGTATATCCATAAAAAGCATAAAAACTGGGACCCATGATGCTGATGCATCACCAGTTCAATGGTTCATTGCCGGATCGAATCCAAGTCTTACAACACTGGTATTGACCCTGACGAGTTTTAAATGAAAAATTCATAGCCTTAGTTGAATTGTTAATAATTTTGCTTGTGGATGTTTTTATGTAGGGCTAACATGGATTAAGAAATAGCCAAATATAATCCACCATTCATCACATGCCACGAATGCAATATTTCTTTAAACAAAAGGGCAGTCCAGTGCAGGAGGCTCCCACCAATGCGGGATCTGGGGAGGAACAGATGTACACAGCCTTACCCCTGGCACATACGGAGAGGCTGTTTCCAAGATTTCTTTAAACACCAGTTTCTAAATGAGAAAGAAAATTGATTACTGATTGTTAATGCCCAACCAATCCATTCTATTTTAGGTAACTCAAATAAAGGGGATACTTATTATTCTAAAACAAAATAGGGAGCTGAAACAAAAGGAAAGGTTTCGAATACAAAATTATAGGCTCAATCTGAAACCATTTTCTTTGCTTATCTTCCTTCCTCATCATGATTCCAAGGGAATACCTAACAATGAAACTATTTTCTGTTTTTAAAAAAAAAACAACAAAAATAAAAAGGATCTTACTCGAGAGGTGGTTACAGAGCAAAATAGAAAACAATGAAGAACCAAAACACAATCCTGATGAAAGAAGTCGGTTTAAGGAGATAATCAAATCTCTTTAACTTCATAGGTTCACAGATAATTAAGCATGAGAAAGAAGAAGAGAAAGACCATTTTATTCAAGCCATTAACTTTTCAAAACAAAAACCATTTCAATTTTATCTTTAGTTATCTATACTAGAAGACAAATGAATAGGCAATTCTCCTTTTGGTTTCCAGAAAGCCGTGTTATGTGTCAAGTTATGACTGAACCCACCAACTTGCCATTTGTTTTCTTGTTGGAAAGTGAGACATGCAAAGAAATCTTGTCTATGTAATTGTTATACAAAAGTGGTAATTTTTGGAGCTACTCATTGCTGCCAAAGAAGTCCTGTCCCCTGTATGCACTCATTAATAAGACCCATAAATAGCATAAAATCAAAAACTCGGTTCTCAGGAATTTAGCCTTGCAGCCACTCTAGTATGGCTTTCCAACAGCTAGTTAGATGCACCACATGCAAAGATACCAATATACACATACAATACAAACATTGCATTTAACACAGGGAGCACCATCCAAAGTATTCATTCTCAAAAACCAAGTTCCATTTTAAGTTTAGAATTTTAGATCCAAGTATTTTTTTATGGTGTTAATCACCTTTCTTTTATAAGCAGATGGGAACTTGTTAAAAGATCAAAGGCAAATATACAACAATTGAAGCATCCCAAACCGAGGCACAAGATGTAGCCTCAGATAAAAAAAATACAGCTAGTCCCAAAATTAGAGGTCCCCCTCACCCCTTGTTTGGTCAAGTAATCTTGTAATTTGTACATCGCATTGATATCTTTTTGTAGTTAATCATCATATGACATTTAATCGATATCTTTAGGATTTTTTATATATAACAAGAAGCTATAAAAACAGTTTGTAAATTTGCATTGATATAGGTAGACTAAGCATCCAGTAAGTACCCAGGTGTCATCAACCATATGGCTGTAATTGGATCAGATTTAGATTGGGTCCAGTCACATCTTAAACCTATCCAATTAGTCACTTTTAACTTATACATATAGCATAAAATTATATGAACATAAGTTACTGAATTTATTAATCTATGTATATGTCTATATATATATATATATATATATATATATATATATGCTTATCAATCTATGTATATCATATAAAATTCAATCAGACTCAGATTTTAATCAGATCAGATAGGGTCAAATTCACATCCAATCTAATTATGTAATGAATCGCCTAAATCTGAAATAATTGGATTGGATCCCAGATCAGGTATCAGACTTTCCGGCTCCATTGACAATCATACATTGCAGGTTCTTGATGTGTTAGTATTTTTTAAGACTTTAGCTATTGTCAACAAAAATCAACTCAACCACCTCCAGTATCCAAGAACCAAGACAGCGAGACAAAAAAGATCAAAACAATAGTTCCGTTAGTGCCAGGTTGACCTTCACCCTACTATTTTTTTTATCAGCAACTATCACCCTACTTTTAATTTGTACTTGTTTATTGTGTTTCCGGTTTGGGAAAGCCTATAATTTGACTTCTGATTCTGACTAACAGAATATATGGACTATCAAAGAATCCAACATCCTTGTTTACATTTTTTTTATAGATATATCCTTGCTTACATTTCTGTTACATATTAATCATGATATCACGTGTTTGATAGCATAAACGTGTATCATAACTGCGCAGTAAAACTCATTTTTAAGCAATGTGGTCAAGATCATTCACATGATAATGGTTAACTGAATAGCTACTTTTACATAATAACCCATCTGCAATGTCTGCCCATGGTTAACAAAGCAAGAAATCAAAAGATATATGTACAGCCTTAGGCCTTCAACATCAAAGGGCACATTGTGAGAAATATATGTTCTACCAGAAATAAGTAATCTAGTCAGTTCAGCTGACCTGCACATATCTAACAAGATTGAAAATTGATGAGCAAGATGGCATTTAACGTACCATTTGCCTGAAAGAACAAATATAAAAGAAAATAAAACCACATTGAACCTGAAAAAAAAATCTAGTCCTTTTATTGAAATGGACTCAACAACCCCCAGGTTGGCAGGCAATTAAGAAATTAGTAATGTTAAATTGTAAATTGTTGAAGGTATGCTCCGAACAGTAGTTCATGCTACAAATATTTCCAGACCTCAGCAACCTTAATCATAAGCCCCTCCCCCACAGAAAACGAAAATCTAATTATCCTTCATCCTTTTAATCATTTTTTTGAAATATAACATTTGTTTATTACACTGATAAGTAACCGAATTATTTTCTGAGTTTTGACTCGGGAAAAAGGATAATATTCTCACCATTAGTAGGCTAGAAAAGTAATGCATAACCACACATTGCAATTATATCACGGAATAATCGGAATGCTTAAATCCATAAACCATAATATAATCGAACGCACTACAAAAAAAAAAAAAAAACTCAGAAAGTTACCTTATCTTCGGCTAGTAGGGGAAGATGTAGAAGAATTTCAAGAGGCTCGGTATCAGCCGCCATCACTACAAACTCCGAAATACCCCTGTTCAGTGTCTTCGTCGCTGTAATCAGAAGGAGAGGAAAGCTGCATTAGAAACACCAAAACTACTCTCCAAAAAAATTAAAAAAAAAAAAACACAAAAAAACGAGAGATGTGAAGGCAAAATCTACGCAAATAATAACCTTCATTCGCTCCCTTCTTCAGCTGCTTGTAGTTGGCAGCTTGTTGAATAAGGTCCAATATTGTTATGGTTAGTTGTGCATCTGCGAGAGGGTATGCTTTCGGATTCACGGCTTCGGCGGTCTTGTATCAATCAAACAGAAAAAGTATCACAAGAATAAGTAAGACCAAAACACCAGCCCCCAAAAGAAGCAAATTGATGTAAAACTACTAAAGACAAAGCAGAGGTTATGCATAGAAAAAAGAGAGGAGGAAGAAGTTGGTACCATTTTTGTTGATCAAAGGGCAACCGACGAAACTAGGGTTTTGAACAGCGAAAGTATGCACCGGAAGGGTTTAAGGAGGGAGGATTGAGGACGGGGAAACGGGTTTATATATGTCAAGTGTTTGGTTACCCACCATGGGTTAGCAAATTGGGTAAGTCGCGTTGCCCAATTAAAGGCCTTGTTTGGGAGTGCTTATTGCTAAAATAATTGCTTATTGTAACAGTGCTTATTTAGCACTTGCCGGTTACCACCAAAAAGTAATTCACTCGAATGGGGTAGTTAGGGCTGTTCATAAGAAGGCCCAACCCGACCAAACCGACTAAGTCGGACCAACCCAACCTGAGTCGGTTGGGTTTTCATTAGTATCGGTCGGTTTCAGGTTGTATAAATTCATAAATCGATGGTTCAGGTCGGTTTCAGTTTTCTTGTTTGAAAATCAAAACCGACCCGGACCGAACCGACTTAGTTCCTACTTAACTATTTAAATATATATTTCGATTTTAAATTAAACCGACTTAATCTATTTAAATATATATTTCGATTTTAATTTAAATATATTTTATATTTAAAACTGTTAAATAAAGATACTTCAGTTTTACATAAAAACTGAAATATCTGACAACCCAAACTTGCACCACATAGGCACATGGGCCATGGGGGGCATGGATGAACTTAGTGCCGAAACCGGCCCAAACTGACCCAACCCGATTCAAACCGACCAGATCGGTTTTGCTTAACACTAGGTCGATTTCGGTTTCCATCTCAGGTAACCCAACTACGTTGGATCAGTTGGAAAAACCTCAATAAACCGACCCAACCCGACCCGTAAACAGTCCTAGGGGTAGTATAAGTATGTCGGGCTAAAGATGGGTCAGAAAGCAATAAATGCTTAAAAATGGGTTTATTGGTATGAATAAGCATTTATTGGGCTTATTTCCCAAAAGCATACAAGTACTTATTATGTGATTTTGATCTAAAATAAGTGTTTATTTGAATAAATGCTTAAAAATAAACACTCTCAAATGGCAGCTTAAAGAATTTCAACCACATTGGCTTGGATTATGATCAAGGACTTTAAAAAATTAACAAATTTGTAACTCAACCCATGGCAACCTAGTTTGTTAAATTTTTGGCAGCAGGGGTGGATAGTTGGATACAAGCCGAGCTTAATATCAAGATTATTTGATCTCAACTCCATAGAACAAGTATTGTTTGATTTTGGGCTCGAATTCAATCTAAGCAAAAACTATTAGTTCAAATTTGGCTAGATTGGTGTCAACAAAATTGACTAGATTCAAAGGTCATATGTTTGAGTCCAATTCATCTGAAACTCAATAGTGAACCAAGCTTCATATAAAAATTTCTTTCTTATTATACATATATAAATTGATAATGTAATATATAAGTTTCGATTAGGATTGCAAGCTTCGTGAGTTGAGCTTCTTCATACTATTTGCACTCAACTAACAATCAAGCGCTCAAAGCTCAATTTTGGTTTATGCTGAATTGAGTTTTTTCCCAAATGGCTAACAAATAGTTTTTGATTAATTGGTGTCCACCCTTAGTTTTTTGTAACAATTTCACCTTAATTTATATCAAAATTGCTTGGTTAGTATAATATGCATATTTTAAACTTTCTTTTATATGTGAAAGAAGATATGAACGGTAATTCCCAGTCCCTAGGATGGGGAGTGAAGTCCCCACCCTTATCCAACTTTGAGTAGCTCAAATATGTAATAAAATGAAAGAGAGTAGACTAAAATGTTTTAGTCATTTGCATAAAAGGTCACCAATAACTTCAATTAAGAGTGATTTGTTACAAGTAAAAGGGGATAAAAGAGCTAGGGATAGACCATAAAGGACATGGATTTGCCAACAGGATTCATGTAGCCAATCCCATATAGTTGGGATAAGGCATGGATGATGATGATGTATAGTTGTCAAACAATATCAGTTTTGGACAAATTTCAATTCCCATGTTATTTGGTGATTAATTATGTTACTTAAGTGCTAAATCAATTTAGCTTAATGATTTTTTCTTTATTTTAAGTAATTCCCAAAGTAAGATTCATTAACAAAAATCCCAAAGTAAGGTTTTAATTAAAAAAGAGAATTTAAAGATTTATTACAAGTGGAAGGGACTAGAACTAGAAGAAATAGGTATAGACCAAAAAAGATATGAGTAGAAGTAGTAAGAAATGATTTAAGCATTGATAATTTAAATAGTAGATATGGCTTTAAATTGAATAGATTGGCAAAACAATATTTATGTAACCAACCCCATATAGTTGGGATAAGGCATAGATGATGACAATGATAATGGTGCCACTATATATATTAGACATATTTCAATTTTCATGTTATCTCGGTTATTAATTATGTTAGTTAAGTACTCAATCAATTTTGGTTAATGATTTTTTTTTCCAAAGTAAGTACTTTTAATTAAAAAAGAGAATTTAGGGGGTTTGGTCCCTTGATGGGAGCTTGCCTCCATCGGTGATCAGAGATGGAGGTTGATTTTTGATTGAGGACAAGGATGGAGAGTATGGTCCCCACTAGGATGCAACTTGGGCGGGCCCAACATGATCCCAAACCAACCTATCCCACAATTTTACATGTGTTTGGCTTAGATTTTTTATTCTTGAGCTAAGCCTAGGCCTAAAAGTTCGGGATTTTTAATTTTCCGGGTTGGACTTGAGATGTATATATAAACACATATTTGCATGCATACATGTATAGATGCATAACTTTTTAATAAACCATACATATATGCATATATATCTATCTATAGATATACATAACAAGACGGTCCAGGTCACCATGCCTTAAACCCCCTTCCTAATTTCCTTTTTTTGAATTTTGTATATTTTTTTTTAATTTCACACAATTATTCATTAAACCAATAAGGAAATAACATAGGCCTAACTAATTCTAACACCCATAAAGAAGGAGGGATTGCTTTTCTAACCTTTAGCCAAGTGGCATCACTTTCCTCCACTTTCTCCTAAATCGTCTCTAATTCCTATTTATTTCCTAAATTATCTCTAAATCCTATTTATCCCTTAAATTTATCTCTAATTTAGTAGAGATATTCCCTCCTAAATTATCTCTAATTCCTATTTATCCTCTCTCCCCCACTTTTTATCTAATCTATCTAAATAAAGTTTCAATTAAAAAATTTCAGAACTATTTAAATATTATAACGAAATTAAATACTAACTTTAAAATATTTATACCAAACACAAAAATTAATTATAATATATTTAATAATATTCATATTATTAATAATTCTATATTTTTACAAAATTCATCATGAAATTATGTAGTAACAATATAAATTACAATTTTACAATTTAAATGTTATTCAAATAATAAAAAAATTAACATTAAAAATAAAACATTATTTAAATATTTCAATAACTAAATATCTTAAATAATAAAACATTAAAAATAACTAAATAATTATATAACAAAATATTTAATATTACATAATAACATTAAAATAAATAAAATTCAAATAATGAAAAATTTTAAATATTTTACATATTATTTAAATATTTAAATAACGAAATACTTAACATGACTAAATTTTAAATAGTTAAAATAACAAAATTAATGATGAATTATGTAATAATAGTACTAATTATAATTTTATGRATTATTAAATTCAACAAACAATTAATATTTTAAAAAATTAAATAATAATATTATTTAAATAACTAGTTTCACTTATAACAATTAATAATTACAGA